TTCCCACACCCCCCCCACACCCTGCCCCAAGCCTCCACCACCCTATTGTCTATGTCCATGGGTTATGCATATATACATATGCATATATACATACAAGTTCTTTGGTTGATCTCTTCCCACCCACCTTCCCTCCCCGGCCTTCCCTCTGAGATTCCACAGTCTGTTCCATGCTGCTATGTCTCTGGATCTATTTTGTTCATCAGTTTATTTTGCTCATTAGATTCCACATATGAGTGAGATCATGTGATACTTGTCTTTCTCTAATTGACAAGGACTGAGTTTTGTTTACTGTTTAATGCACTGCAGAGGCTGAGATTTTTAGTGAATGAATTTCTGGAGTGTTTCTCTTCTAGAACCCATTCTTGCAGGGCCATGTGATTATGCTTCAAGGGGGCCTAGACTAGGTCAGGACTCTATAGACATTGCCATTTCTTGCCAGCTTTGGAATACCCACAACAGGAATCCAGGTTCTTTGCTGGTGGGTGTAGGTGTGTAGATTCTAATAACAAGATAGTAATATTTTCCCAGCACTATTTTATTCACAAGGCCAATATCAGCTTTAGTAACCCTTTGCGTCTTTGTGGCAAAATAATCATCAGGATCCTCTTGCTCCCCCGGGAAGGTCTGTGTGAAGGACCCTTGTTCTCTGTGGTGACCGGCTCCTCTCCTGAGCCAGGACCCAGGTGTCAGTGGTGTCCCAAGCCGTCAGCGCTGACAGCAAACGTTTATTTTGTCTACGTAGGTGGAGGAATTAGTTTTCCAATGCATTCATTTTACCTTCAATAGGCCAAAAAATTTTATTTTCCCAGTACAGCTTTTATTGTTCAATTTTTATTTAAATTATTGAACACTTGTAATGCTCAAAATTTCCCAGCTTTGCACAGGAGATTCAATGATGACGTCTCTCAGTAGAAACTTGTAGAACAGAAACTGGTGAACTTCAGCTGTTCATTCAGTCTGTGCATTTCTATTGGGCTTCTCTGTTCACCCTCTCTGTCTCATGCTCAGGGTGCAGGGCAGTGAGGCTCAGGCTACTAAGTCAGGGAGAAACAGCCTTCTTTCCTTAATTATTCATGATGCTTCATTGTAAATGTAAATAACAACATAGTCATTACATAGTGGTTCATTGAGCATCATCTGTCTTGGTCCTGTCGTTACTTTCTATTTCATCCTGAGGGTAATACAAAGGGAAGTAAAGAAAAGAAAGGGAATTCAATATTTTTCTCTATAATTTTCAAGATTTAAGACTTTTTATTTCTCATTTCAACTTTCCCAGAAAGCAAAATTTAGTTGTTTGTGGGCAAAAATGAAACAAATAGAATTCTGTATGTCATAAAAGTGAAAGAAGGGAAGTGACAAAGTGTAAGTTGGCAGAATTCCCTGTAGCCAAGTCGGGTCCCTGGTGCTGTGGCAGAGGGCGGATGGAAGTCACCCCTGAGCTACACCAAGTCAGGGATGGGCTGCCTCTACCAGAGGCTCAAACAAGAGGACCTTCTGGGTCAGTGACCGGCCATGTCATTTCCTGTCTTTAATCCACATGCGATCAGCTCTGAGGACAGAAGAGAAGAGTCACAGCCACCACCTCTCAAGAGACTGGCGACCACCACGACCCCCACCCCCATCCCGTTAATAAATCCCCTTAGGCAATGAAGAGGCCATGGCATGATAGCCCTGAGCAGGGAGGGTGGGGTGATAAAGGGTGCCAAGTTCCACTTCAAATGCCAATGGATTGCTCTCTATTGTTTTGTATGACAACACAGGTGTGCTTGAGTCCATTCAACTGACTCAGTTTAAATTCCAAGTGAAAACAGACAACCTTCCTTTTAAGTAGTTTTATGGGAGTAGAATTTTCTGACAATTGAAACCACTTTGTTGCTGCTACTGGAGTAACCCCAATATGGAACCAAATTATAATTTTTTCCTCTGTTCCAATTCTAAGCTGTCACCTGTGCTGGGGACACTGCTGTTGGCCACGTCTCTATGGGAGAGCTCTGCTCTCAGCATCCACTTCCATCTTCTCCATCTGAACCAGAAGGATCTGCAGAAACAGGTGCCTCAGTGCGAGCCCTTCCCAGTGTTCCCCTCCTGAGGGCCTGCCTGTTCCAGTCCAGGTTTTACCTGTCTCTGGTCTGCCCATTTCTCCAGCCCCTGCTGACTTTCATCTCCTTCCCTTTCCTAGATGTGCTCTGTCTATTTTTGAGCAGATGTGAGTCCTGCACTGATGCAGCCTCCTCCTAGTGGAATCCGACGGGGCACTGCCTAACCAGAGGCACGATGTCCCAAGTCATGTGTGGACCTGGCTCCAGGCCTTTACTGCATTTCTGTGTGAGACTGGACGTCAGGGGTCTGGACAGCTGCAGCCCAGGAAGCAGCTGGCAGGGAGGGTGGAGCCTTGGCCACCTTTACTCTGGCATTTGACCCTGGAAATCCTCTGCTGCTTCCAGCTGGCGCTGCACCCTGATCCCTCACAGCACATCTGTGGGCATCGGGCTGCTTCCCTTCTCAGGCCTTGGGTGTAAGGTCCTGCTCCTCTGCAGGGGCTGTGGGAGGCTCAGTGCTCACTCTCCCTCGCCCAGCCGTTGAGCCCTGCTGCTCCGTCTTCCAACCATTTCTAATATTTAATAACCTTGGAATATGAAACCGGGTATGGCTACAGAGATTTTCAGGGCAAGATGACAATAGGGAACCCAATTATATATTTTTTCACCCTGGAAGTATAATGAAGAACAACACCAACCCCAAAACAACAAACTGCAAAGGTACAATGGGGGGAAAACAACACCAAAAATGGAAGGAATCCTAATATGTGAAAGCTGTAGGGCAATCCCAAAGACAGAGCACGGTGAATCCCTAATATGTCCTTGTAGTTTTGCTCCTACATGGTCCCCCTCTCACAAGTAGTGGAGGAAGAAAGAAATGCAAAGGGCCAAAATAGGGTGACATGTCCTTTAGAGCCCTTTAAGCCATCAATTGGAAAGAAACTATCTAAAGATTGAGTGTGTAATCTGAGGCAAAGATTTGAGAGATCTCTGCTACCTGAGCAATTCACACACACTTCATGATTAACTTCCTCAACCTTAATACCTCTCATTGTACCCAAATAGATACTCCTGGGGCTGTCCGTTGGCAACAATTACATTCTCTGAAATTCCTTTAACTTTTCCTCTCTTGCTATTCAGTTAAGGTGGAAGGGATGACCTTGGAGTCATTACTCAAAGTGACAATAAGAATTTTCTCCTAATTATAAAGTCAAACAATGAGATCTGAATGTAGGAATGAATTTTAAAAACTGCCAACTTACTTTTGAGAAAAAGTTAATGCGCCTTCGAACTGATTCCCTTGCTTCTCTACACCCAGAGAGGCAGGCTCTCAGCCTCCAGATGGCCTACAGAACTGCCAGGGAGTGATGATGCTGGAGGCTCTGGCCAGCTGAGCAGCCTACAGGCACAGTCATATTCTAGTTGGTTAGAGTGTGGTTCCCATACACCCAGGTTGTGGGTTCTATGCCCCATTAGGGCACATAAAGGGGTCAACCACTGAACACATAAATAAGTGGAACAACAAATTGATATTTCTCATTCTCTCTCTCTCCACTCCTCCCTCGATAGTATATATATATTTTAAGTGTGGATGAAAATAAAGGGCCACATGCTAACTTGATTAGCTCGGGAAGGCCTGTATGGCAGTTTTGCAAACTCAAAGACCTAAAGTAACCACAAAGGATGGTCTGAAATTAAAACTTTAACTAAAAGCAGTTTATAGTGGGTAGTCATGTCCTAGGCCAGTATCTTCCCTGACAAAGGTCAATCTTTACCTTAGCTGAGCCTATTGTCTTTTTGCATCTAAGATAACATGCCTGTGAAATGTCAGTAACTTGTAACTTCCCTTTTTCCGGACCCCTCAGGACACAACCAAATGAGCAGGACAGAGACCATAAATTCCTTCATAGTTATTGAGTTAATTGTGTGTTTTTTTGTTTTTTTTATTTTATTGATATTTTACAGAGAGGAAGGGAGAGAGATAGAGAGTTAGAAACATCGATGAGAGAGAAACATCGATCAGCCACCTCCTGCACATCTCCTACTGGGGATGTGCCCGCAACCCAGGTACATGCCCTCAACCGAAATCGAACCTGGGACCTTTCAGTCCGCAGGCCGATGCTCTATCCACTGAGCCAAACCGGTTTCAGCATTGAGTTAATTGTTGACTGCTAACTATCCTGTACCCACCTGGGTAAAAGAAGTATGTGTTTATCATTTTACTTTTCATCCAATCCCAGAGATTTCCTCCCACTTTGCTTTCTCCAGACTCCCTAATCTATCACCAATGGATTTCATGTAACCCTCTAACTTCTCCT